AATGTAAAAGGAAAACAATGAAAGCATCCATAGGTCTTTCCATTTTAATTCAAATAATCTGAAAAATATATTTCACTGAGTTAGACACATATAAAAAAAATTCTCCAACAATTCATATATGATTTTTCAAATCTATGCCTATTTCACGTATGTTTGAAAGGAGACATACCAAATATGTAAAAACATGAAAAGAAGTGGTTTTATTATCTTACAAAAAAAATACGGTCACCCAGTAGCTTATAAAATATTATTTCTCAGCAATCAAAAGAAACTCTATGCTTGGCGCCAAGATAACACAATGCCACTAAAACACAAAATCTTTAAACTATGTCCTCATATCATCTGCTTCTCTACTGGTTTTAAAGAAATGCTGCTTGTGTCACCTCAGACTATACCTTATGAAATTACAGTGTCAGCATTATAAAGCAACAACAAACAATATCCTTAGGTATCTAACCAGCAGGTAAATTTCTGCATCTAAAGATCAAGAGGAGTTAAAAATTAAAAACCAAAAATAAAAACAAAGAAGCAAGCTAGTTTAATTTACTCTTTTTTTTCATAAATAATACTTTGACTTCAAGGAATATTGAGGGAAAGCATTTATTTTTATTCCTACCCATTACTGATATGCTCAGTAAATATGTAAGGTATGTGCTTATTTTAGATACTATTAATAGGTATAAAACAGTAAAAAAAAAAAAAAAGGCAAAATCTCTGGCCACAGGGGACTTACATTGGTCTCAAAAGAATAAATCAATGAAAAAAACAAAATATATCAGAAAGTAACAAATGCTATGCAAAGAAATAAATAAAACAGTGATGTGCTATGATGTAAAGTAACTGAGTGGCTACATAAGATAGGGTATTCAGAAGGCCTCCTGAAGGGCATAGCCATGAAATGACCTAATAATTCTCAACAGAGGGCAAGAGCTAAGGCCCTCCTGTCAGTGCAGGTTTCGCCTGGACGTTTTGGTCCAGGAAAAAATGTGTCTGGACCTATCGAACAAGAGGGAAAATGGCAGAAGATGAGGTCATGGACATAGGACCAGACTATTTAGGGCCTTTTAGATCAGAGTGATACATTTTTACATTACATCCTTGGATTGTAAGAAGCAGCCTTATGAAACTCACTGTCATGGTTTTTGTAAAACTGCTATTAGGGATATTATTCGCCACACCAAACAAAATATTCTTCTTCATGAAGGTCCAAAGGAAGAATCAAATCTCATGTTCAGCAAAATCTGATCTTTTTCTGAGGAACAGGTAAAATTTACCTTACATAAATTCTGAAATTAATCATGATCTCTTTGATCCTCTGAATTCCAGAAAATTCAGAGTTGAATTTATACTTCAATTATATAAAACCTTATGGCGTCTATTTTTTTAATAAACTTTTTATTTTCTAAGTTTTAGATTTACAGAAAAATTGCAAAGATAGCCCACAGAGTTCTCATATCTCCACTACTCAGTTTCCTGTATCATTAACATTTTTCATTAGTACGATTCATTTATCACATTTAATGAACCAATATTGACTGATACATTATTATTAACTAAACTCCGTAATTTACTCAGATTTCCTTAATTTTTACCGGATGTTCTGTTTTTGTTCCAGTATCTTTACAGTGTCTATTCTATACATTAAATTTAGTGGAGCTTTAAGTCACAATTCCGTCTTCATTTCCCCCTTATTCTAACCTCTATGACTGCTGTTATCTAATATATTTTATGTAACTCTATAAACCTTTCCCAATACTTATGGGAACTATGTGGAGTAATTTAAAAAAATTAGTACAGACAGATTTCTTGAAAGATACAATTAGCTTTTTCCCCAACAAATCCAACAGTTCAGAATTATTCAAAATAAGTAACGCTTCATAAATCTTTTAAAAATACACAAATGGAAGGAAATGTCCAGTTAAATTTTTTACTCAGAGATTTAGATAAAAATGCAAAGTCAATATAAAAAGTGTTTATGTTTAAATATTAGTTTAATCTCTGGAATTCTCCTTTTGTCATTGCATACAGCAATAGTAATCCCAATTGTTCTTATTGAGCATGCAAGCTTAGCTTGACCTCACATCACACAAATCTAAAATGAGGATGAGGCAAAATGATCTTTTAAAGTCCTTTTCAATTAGAAATGCCACTGGCCTCTTAATTCTGTGACTGTTAGATTGCTAGATTTTTCCATCACAAGACTGGAAAACATTAATACTTCTAAACAAAAGATTCTGTATTTTAAAGAGAGGATGGCAAAATAAAGTTTGAACCTTCACTTGAAATTAATTCAAGTAGATTAACATAGTGCATAAATTTGTGTGTACATAAATTATATAAAGTATCCAGGGGAAGGAGGAAGTTTCCCCTCTAAAAAAGTGTGACTATTTAGCCAAAAAAGATTAATTCCATAAAGTCACTGAGACACCAAATGGAAAAAAATATATATGAGAGAAAAGGTAAAAAGCCTATCGATTTATATTTTCCACTGTTCTCTTATCACTGAAAATTTGACTATGTTAAATGGGTACTATAATTAACAGTTCTGTTTTCATACCTATAATAAATTTTCTTGGCTTGAAATAATCCTGATTATTAAGGTGTGACTGATTGACTGTGGAGAACATCAAGTTTGCAGCTTAATCTGTTCCCAAATACTCAAATACTAAACACCTCATTGACAATATCTCACTGACAGCAGGAATGCTAAAAACACAATAAAGTTTAAAGGTTTTAAGCACCATTTTCCCAAAATTCCTCCAAACAGTGCTCTATGAAAGACTGACTCAAAGGACTCTAAGTGTGTGTCTGCCCCTCCATATCAAAAAAAATCTACAATTCTAATCACTTTAATACCCTTCTTCTACCGTCATGTATGCTGCTCTACAAGTTTTTCTGTAGCGAAAGACAACAAAATAAACAGTAAAATGTTTATTTATGCCATTATTTAAAAATCAATACAGGGTATAAACTTTTACAATTTTCTGTCATCTTCTCAGTCATGTAATATTTCCAAATGTAAATGGTTACCAAAAATAAAAGATTACATGGCCGGCCGAGTGGCTCAGTTGGTTAAGAGCTTGCTCAAGAGTGAGAGCTCTGAGCAACAGGGTCGCCAGTTCGATTCCCACACGGACCAGTGAGCTGCGCCCGGGCTGAGCTGTCAACAGGTGGCAGGATGGCTCAATGGTGAGAGCACATGCACCTAACAACAAGCTTTCCGGGTTCGATTCCCACATGGGATGGTGGGCTACGCGCACCCAGATTTGAGAACCACCAATTTACAGTATATTCCAGTTTTGGATAAAAAAAAGAAAGAAAGAAAGAAAAAAACAATCTTGCTCACTGGCACCAAAGTTTTAAGTCTACTAAAACTTATGGTATAGCAAAAAGGTCAGTGAAGAAAAGAGAGAAAGATAATATTAAAAAAAAAAATCAAGGCCTACTATCAAACTATTTTTCCTTTAAAAATGTTAAAAGTCCTATCTTGGACTTTGTTGATAAATCTGCTCATGTTGTATTATTTTTTAGATAACTGTTAAGTAAAAGCCTAGATATATGAACTCAAAAGCAAGAGTAAATGACAAAAATGATTATCATTTAACACCATATAAAGATAATAAATTAATATAAATATCACAGTACAAATGAGATACAAAATCACAGTTCCTTTAAGAACTTTTTCTAACCTGAATACTACACAGAATAAGTTTCTTTAAATCACTTTCTAATACATTCAATTTTCCGGTGTCTCAAAAGAGAAAAATTTATTTTAAGAAGATAAAAACTACAAGGCTTTAGTCTGTTTATCTGAGAGTACAAAGAACAAACAAATGCAGGTATTTCCCTTATGAAAGCAGGACACAGATCTTGATGATCAATCAGCCTACAATCCTCCCTTTACAACAGGGTCCAAAGAGATTGATGTCTCTTGGCAATAAGATAAAGAAAAAAGTTTTTAACTCTAAATATTTTTTCATTTTAGCATACTTTCACAGAATTCCATTTTTCTGTAACAACAGCTAAAAGTGTGTGAAAATTGCAACTCGATCCAGCATACAGGGATGAAGCAAGATCATTGTAACTTTCAATGTATCTCAGAGTATCTTTGCTATAAACCAGGTGGTAAAACTTAAAAAGAAAAAATATTAAATAGTAGTGGCCCAACCTTGAAAATAAAAATAAAAGAAGCGCTATTTAAGTTACACAGGATGAGGAAATCAGTTTAACTTCCATGTAATTTCATTTCTCTTAAATTCTTAAAATATTTTGAGGAGGTGCTCTTTAAGACACATAAAATAAGAGATAACACAAAAAAGAACTAAATATTTTGATAAATCTTAAGTGTCTTCAGTTAAATATTAGAGAATTAAGTGTATTAAAATATTATAAACCAAAACTCAGTGACATATTATAAAACTAATATCTAAATGCTAGTATCCTGGTAAAGATTTTCAGATGTTGTAGGAAGCACATCCTGAATTTGCAGATTGAGAGAGAGAGGAAGGGAGGGAGGGGGAGAGAGTGAGGGATGGAGGGAGGAAGAGGGAGGGAGGAAGAGAAGCACTCTGTTGTTTTACTAGTCCCAGTCTAAAGACATGGCATAAATAGAAAGGACGTTGCCCAGACTAATTAAGGACTAAGGATTCACGGATGGATGGATGGATGGATGGACGGACGGACGGAAGAACAGATGGAAGGACAGATATGAAAATACATTTGGGGGGTGAACATGACACAGATAAGAACTTTGACTCTAACCCAATATGTATGATTCACAATTCTAAGGTGATTTAAGGACATATAAGAAACCCATCATAGGGAAAATGTGAACAAACAAAAATCTGATTGAAATATAATATAATCATAATATATATTACAAAAATAAAAAATACCTACATAATAAGGTAGGTTAAATTGGTTTTATACTGTGCAGTTTAAAATATCTTTCCTTAAAAAGAGGTTTTATGTGACTAAATGTAGGGGCTAATGCATCTTACCCTCCACAGAAGGTGCCTGGTCCTGAGCTGAATACAGCATATCCTTGAAAGCCTGTTAGGAAGAAAAGGAATACATGAATTGAGTAACCTTTATACTAAAAGGATTTGAAGCTAAACAATCACTTCTTTTTCAATATCCACACAATGACTACATATGGTTCCCTAAATTGAGAATTTAAAATACTTCAATTAACTTTAATAAGCTAAAAAATATATATACTATACTTTCATATCAATCTAGTATTGTCTAATTTTTAAGACAAGAGCTAATTTGTACACTTTAAAAATTAAGGGGCATTTGAAAAGAAGAAAAAATCACCAGAGATATCATAAACTCTCCTGACTAAAAGATAATAGTTACAGAAACAGAATAACGGTCCTAGAGGAATACAATGAATGCTGCATAAGAAAATATGAAACACTGGGCACAAATGTTTTAACTGTGGTAACATATATAACATAAAATTCACCATCGTAACCATTTTCAAGTGTGTGATTCAGTAGTGTTAAGTACATTCATACTGTTGTGTAGACAATCTCCATAATTTCTTCACCTTGAATACAAATACTTCACCTTGAATACAAATACTTTTTATTGGAGGTCTAGAAAGTCCTCCATAACAGTTCATGACCACAAAGATAGTAAACGTTTTTATTGTTTTTTTCCAAATCAGTAGATCAATTAACAACCATACTTAGGTAATTTGGATGGTTGCAGTTTGGTCTCTCACTAAGTGGTTTGGGGACAGTGGCAACTCCCCTCCACCACCACCAAAGTTGTGACAACCAAAAATGTCTCCAGATACTGCCAAATGTCCCCTGAAGAACAAAACCACCCCACCCCAGAAGCACTGGCCAAGAGTCATTCAAGCATATAAACACCAAAACACAAGAAATACACCTCCAAGTTAGCTCACTCTGTATTCAAGTCTAGTAAATGATACTCTGCCCAAGTGAATTTACCATTTGCTTTAGATTAGTGACCAATCTGTTAGTTCCATGAGTAAACAAGCCTGACAATATACAGTAAAAAAGATTTCCAATAAAACAAGGAAAATTTTAAATCAATGCAGTTTTGTTAATTTTTGTAGGAAAATTATGTATAAAAATGTTAACCTCACACATTCTTAAATCTAAAAATACTCAATAAGATTCCTTATTTATATAGAATTTGAGGCAATACAGTAATGCAATTGTTTTATAACAAAAACTATTTGTTCTTCCTGACACAAAGCTCTGAAAACCTTTGGAATTTACTGTCTTTTACATACTAATGAGTAGGAGTTGGGGGGAGTTAGCTTCAGGATGGGAGTTGGTCCCCAGAAAAAGCAACAGCCTGATTACTGTGATTAGAGGGTTAAAACTTTCAGCCCCACCCCAGACCTCTGAGGAGGGGGAAAGGGACTGAAGATTGAGCTCAGTAACCAACGGCCAAAGCTTTAATCAATCATGCCCATGTAATGAAACCTCCACAAAAACTTCAAACAACTTCAGGTTTTAGAGAGCTTCCACTGATCAATGTGCTGGGAGAGGGCATGGAAGCTCTGTGCTACCCTCTCCCCATACCTTGTCCTATGCACCTCTTCCCTAAGTGGTATACTTTATAATAAATCTGTAATGGTAAGTAGAGCACTTTCATGAGACCTGTGAGTCATTCTAGCGAATTACCAATCCTGAAAGGGGGTCATGGGAACCCCCGAATTTATAGTTGGCCAGGCAGAAGTGTGGGTAGCCTGGGTACCCCATTTGCAGCAGCCTTCTTAAGTGGGAATACTCTTGTGGGACTAAGCCCTTAAACTGTGGGGTCTGTGCTAACTCCAGATAGTGTCAGAATTGAATTACATACACAGTTACATACACAGTTGGTGTCAGAGAAATGGTTGGTCTCAGCAAAAAGAACTACATTTGGTGTTGGAAGTGATCACAGAAAATACCCAAACAGAAATCTTTTTTGGAAAAAATCTTTTATTAGTGGGCCACAGCTTTCCAAAGATTACATTTGAAGCTCAGCCTCATGTTTACTGACCATTAATTCTTAAACTTATTTGTGTACAGAAGCCCTAAGTGAATATGACAAAAGTATGGACCTTCTTTTAAGAAAAATGTATATACAACTCACTATTTTCTTTACAATTGCAGATGTCTCGGACACTACTAACTTCTGGTCTGAAAAAAGAAGTTAGTCCAGAAGATCTTATCAAACATCAGCAAGTCTCTATTTTAGTTCACAGATTGGAGTTTTATATTGAAGTCCTACAACTGCAGAGTAGTGATCTTGCTACAGCTCTTCCATAGGTATTTTAGAGGGTAAATGAACACATTACTTAGAGCAAATTGTTAGTAGTAGAAAAATACAAGAAAGGAACAAATAAATCCAGGCAGAGAATATTTATGGAAATACTTATGAAAATAAACGATCATGGGAGCAGGTAATGTCAGAGACTCCAATGTCTGATGAGGTTTTTCTAGTTGTAGAGCATAATAGGCATGTGTACCAAATTAAGTGAACCAAATAAACCATCAATGACTAGCAGAGTAGCTTGTACACAGAAGAAGCTCAGTAAATAATTCTTTAATTCAAAAGGACGTCTTCTTTGGAGAAAATTACTGTAAAGGTGATTGGAAAAGCACACTAAGTAGAATCTCTGACATGTAATGAAAATGAATTAAATTTGCAAAAGGAAAGCTTACCAAATTAAGTTTTAAAAAATGATAAAAATTTTATAAAGAGGAAAATGATAGTTTTCATTTTGATTATAAGGCTGAATCATAATTTCATTTAAATTAAGACAATCTCAATGAAATCAGGGACAACTCTTTTTGCTTCTTACTACCTCAGTTTTCCTCTGAACAAAAGACCCTCTGTGTTTTTTTATAGTAATAGACTCTAGAGTACTCCCTAAATAAGATACCAATTCTATGCCTGTGACAAAAGAAATTGGGAACCAGGGGGAGGAAGAAAAGCCTACAAAGTAGTGTCTATATTAGTACCTATGGATTGTTTGTCTGTAATGAGTTGTCCAGAGCACTTGCTTGGGTTGGAAGGAGTACATTCAAATACACAAAACAATGAAATCAAAGTTTCCTTGTTTCTTTCTGTTTTACTTTAAGAAAAATCTAATACTTTACATAAAGTATATATGAACTCTGAATTTGTATAATAAATAAAATCAATACATATATTCATGTCCATTACAAAAGATTTTGTTGATTTCCAAAGGATTCAAAACAATCCTGTTCATCAGCATCTATGCTGTAATCTCTAATTTTTTTGTTATAATGTTATTGAAATATTTATATATAAAGTAGAACAAAACTCTTAGGGCTTGTAACAACTCATGTAATAGTAAAACCTACCAAATTTAATCCAAATACAACCACAAAACCAATAGTATTCAACTAACAACATTAACGTGACAGGAAAATACATGTTGTTTGAAGAAACAAAATCTCAACTGGCAATGTGAATGAACACAATGCAACTGCCAATACAATGCTGACTGCCAATATACCTTTTCTTCTGAGTTTGGAATGCCTATATGACTCTGTGTCAGATTTTATGTAATTCCCCTAGTACCTTTTTTTTTTTTTAAAGATTTTTATTGGGGAGTTGGGGGATGGGAACAGCACTGAGGAATTGGGGGAAGGGGAACAGACAAGTTGCTGTCCTTTTGTTCTTCAGTCTAGTTGTGGAGGACTTTGCTTCACTGGCCCAAGTTGGCACCATCATTGCGCTCTTCGCGGCGAGGCAGATCAGTCGCAGGCTTCAGGACGGCCGCTCACTGCGGCTGCTGGCCACTCACGCTGGCTACTGGCTTCACACGGTAGCCCATGGCAATCCACTGCAACAGGGGCTGCAGCCTACGCCGTAGCTGGCGACTCACGGCAGCCCAGCTCCAGGTTGAGCTGTTGTTCAGCATCTTAGCTGTAGAGGGCAGTGTCA